GCTTCTGGCTAAACCCTACACCCTAAACATCCCTAAACCCTGAACCCTAAATCCTAAACCCTAAACTCTAAACCCTAAACCCTAAACCCCGAATCAAGGCACAGCCTGCGAATGATCGCATTGCCTTGGGGCAGGCAGGTGTGGGGCTTAGGGTTTAGAGTTCAGGGTTGTCGGGTTTTGTCTAGGGTTTCAGGCTTTTAGGGTTCAGGGGCTGGGGCTTCGGGTTTAGGGTTTGGGGCTAAGCACGAAACCCTAAACCCTAAACCCTAAACCCTAAACCCTAAACCCTAAACCCTAAACCCTAAACCCTAAACCCTAAACCCTAAACCCTAAACCCTAAACCCTAAACCCTAAACCCCCCATTCTCGCCAGAGAGTGGAGGCCAGCCCGACCCCAAAACCCCCAGAGCCCAGAATGGGCTCAAGGCTTCTTATCCGGGGGTTTAACCATACATGGAGCAGTTTAGAGCTTCTTCTAGGGGATCCGAAGTATGAGGCCCTTAATTTGGGTCCCATGTTATGTGATCCTTATATGGAGCAGGGTATATATTACTGTTTTTGGTGAGTGTATATAAGGTTCCCTTTTTAATTTTGGTGAGTGTATATACCTGGTGTCCTTTTGGGGGTACAAGAAGTATATACCCTACTTCACATCCGTCTATCTTTAAGACGTCGAGGCATTGGAAATGCTAGCCGAAGTTAAAATATTTTTCAAATACGGGGAAAATAGGAAAAATAGGAAACCAAAATAGCAAATCGAGAATGCCTGGTTTTGGGAATAGGAAATACATAGGAAAAAATAGAAACAGAATAGGGTTACGAGAAAAGCACCCGTTAAAAAAATAGTAAACAATTTGTTAAACAAACTAGCAAAAATAGCAAAAAAAAACAGACTTTTTGCCATTTTCCTATGCGTCATGTGTTTTCCCCTATTTCGGTTCCTATTATTTCCTCTTTTTCTTTTTTTGGAACACACACTGAAACTTCCATTGCTATTTTTTTTACTAATTTTTTACTAGTTTCATTTTTCCAGTTTTTCTATTTTTTCACTATTTTCCCGTAATTTAAATATTCAAGCTTTTTGAGCATTTCCATATGCCTCGACGTCTTAAGTCTATCTCTTGAAAAAAAGAGAGCTAACCTCCTTAGGGATTGGGGTTAACGGGCTAGGGATTGGGATGGCTGGCTTTTGTTCTTGTGTTTCTGTTTCTGGATGGCTGGAAACGTCGTTTCAGGGTGCTGGTTGAGAAAGATGGTGCAAAAGTGTGGGTGGGGGGGGCTGTGGTGTTGGGTGTGAGGACTGAGGTTGGCTTCGGCTTTTTGTGTCTAAGCCCTAAGGTCCTGAACCCTTGACCCTAAGACCCAGAGGGCCCTGAAGATAACTCTCCCTCCACTCCCGAAAAGGCCACAACCCCAAGCCTGGTTCGAAGGTTTCGACTTGGAGAGGCTTGGAATGTGGGATTTGGAGTGTAGGGTTGGTGAGGGGGAGAGGGCTTCTTTTGCCACAAAGCTTGGGGCCCTCAACTCTTCAACCCTCAACCCTCAACCCTTCAACCCTTCAACCCTTCAACCCTTCAACCCCTAAACCCTTCAACCCTTCAACCCTTCAACCCTTCAACCCTTCAACCCTTCAACCCTTCAACCCTTCAACCCTTCAACCCTTCAACCCTTCAACCCTAAACCCTAAACCCTATCCCTGCACTCGAATATGGGGTGGGGGTGGGGGAGTTAGTTGGAGTGGGCTGCGGGCCGTACGGTTTAGGGCGAGGGCGTCAGAACCAAACCCTCAACCCTCAAGTCCTGGTCCTAACGGTTTAGGGTTTAGGGTTTAGGGTTTGGGGTTTTGGGTTTAGGGTTTAGGGCGCAGGAACCCCTAAGCCCCCCAAACTTCTGAACTGAGAGCCTTGCGCGCCTACTCAACGCCAGCTCCTGCTACATCGGAGCTCGGCCGAGCCACTGTTGGTCCTCTCCAGCCACCTCTACTGGGACCAGGCGGGTTATGGGGATCCTTAGATGATTATGATATCCTTGGCATGATTTAAGGGAATGTAGGGGTCGGAAGAATTGCTAACAAGGTTCCCTCTTCTAGTTATTCAGGCTCCTGCAGTAGACTTGCATTCTACTCGGAAATGTTAAATAATCATGTCTCTAAATTTGGACTTTTTAAGCGGCCCCAAATATTTAGGGAACACAACACGGGACCCCTAGTTTGCAGAAGAGGCCAAGTGTAACAACAATCTTGAGCACCCCCCCCCCCCCCCTCAATGCCCAAACATACAGCCGAAACTCCAACCCCGAAACCTCGGCGAATCTCTTGACCTTACGTCCTAAACCCGAAGCCCTAAATTCCTCGACCGAATTGGGGTCTGCAACACGTGGACATCCCTACCTGTTTCGTCCGCCCCTGCATGCGGGGGCATTATTTTGGGGGGCTTCCGAAAATTGGGGTACGCCTTTTTTGGGGGGTCCCTTTAAGGGGATTCCATTCTGTTTTGGGGTCCTAAACCCTAAACCCTAAAAGCTAAACCCTAAACCTTCCCTAGACCCTAAACCCTAAACCCTATCTTGGGGAAATACACATTTTGTGCTTGTTTCATGGGGCAGTGAACGCAGGCTTGGTCGTTGCATGCCACGGCGGAGCTACTTCAGTTCTACTAGAGTAAGCCCCCAAAAGCCCCATGTCAAAGATTCAGGCCCCTATGTTACATCAGTTCGGACGGACACTGTTCCTGGTTTAGGGTTTAGGGTTTAGGGTTTAGGGTTTAGGGTTTAGGGTTTAGGGTTTAGGGTTTAGGGTTTAGGGTTTAGGGTAACGCCTTTCTACAAGCATGACGACGTGGCAGGCGCTGCCATTTGCTCGTGTACTTCCTGCGAAGCGTACACTGCGCAACCCTAAACCCTGAACCCAAAACCCTAAACCCTCCTCCTATGAGTTCGTGTACCGTGCTGATGATGGTTCGCATCAGCATGTCCGTCTTTGGAGACATGTGGAGATGCTCCAGAAGTTCATGCCATAGAGTTTGGGGTTTAGAGTTTAGGGTTCAGGGTTTAGGGTCTAGGGTCTAGGGTTTAGGGTTCAGGGTTTAAGCCACAACAATACAAATGGTCACCTCTTTGAGTTGTGGTCTGATTTGCGGTCACTCGTATGAGGTGGCCCGCATTGGCCCGCTAATGTTTATGGCCCGTGTTTTGAGAACTGACCACAGAGAATCTGGTTGGGTATTTGCCCACGACAAGAAACATAGGAGTTGGATGGGCATTCGCACATAGAATTTGGATATGATGGATATTGACCCGTAACTCATCACCACAAGTGGTCAAGCCCTCCTAAACCCTAAACCCTAAACCCTAAACCCTAAACCCTAAACCCTAAACCCTAAACCCTAAACCCTAAACCCTAAACCCTAAACCCTAAACCCTAAACCCTAAACCCTAAACCCTAAACCCTAAACCCTAAACCCTAAACCCTAAACCCTAAACCCTAAACCCTAAACCCTAAACCCTAAACCCTAAACCCTAAACCCTAAACCCTAAACCCTAGCCTAAACCCTAAACCCGGAACGAGGCGTCCGGGCACCAGGCGTCCGAAGCACAGGCCGGCCCATGGGCTGGCTTTTGTTATGGGTTCATGGGTACTTATAAGCAAGGTTAGAAGTAGGAACTATACCTTAAATCCCAAACCCTAAACCCTAAACTAAACCCTAAAGCCCATTAGGGCCTCTATCCCTACTTAGAAGTACCCATGAACCTTCAAGTGGGGGTGTCTTTATGGGCTCGGCGGTGGCCGGTAAGGGTTTGTAGGGTTTAGAGTGTGGCTTTCTGGGTTTAGGGCGTGTTAGGGTTTGGGGTTCAGGGTTTAGGGTTTGGGGTTTAGGGTCTAGGGTTTAGGGTTTAGGGTTTAGGGTTTAGGGTTTAGGGTTTGGGGTTTAGGGTCTAGGGTTTAGGGTTTAGGGTTTAGGGTGTAGGGTTTTGAGTTTAGGGTTTAGGGTTTAGGGTCGCGTGCTTAAGGTTTAAGAAGATCATGTTGAGGAGGAAATTCCGAAGGTTTGCAGGGCCAACCTCGTGCCACACTCGGGTGCTCACGCGCATAGCACGGTCCCTACACCCCTAAGACCCGAAGCCCCGATAGAGCCCTGTTGCCCTAAACCTCCTGAAGCCTAAATCCCCGGAACCTGACATCACCCAAAGCCTCCGAAGCCCCGAAACCCTAAAAGCCCCAAGCCCCCCAAAGCCCGCAAATCGCCCAAAGCCCAAAAACTCCCAAACCCAAAATCCCAAACCCCAACACCCTAAAGCCCCAAAGCCCTGAAACCCCCTGGCATGAATTCTTGGGTTTAGGGTTTAGGGTTTAGGGTTTAGGGAATTGAAAAACTGGGCCTGCGGGAAAAGTATCTAGAGGTCCTGTAACCCTGCAGCTCCCAGAGCCCCAAAACCGTAGAAGTCTTGTTCCTGAGTTGGCAGGTTTAGGGGCTCTGGTTTCCCTAAACCCTAAACCCTAAACCCTAAACCCTAAACCCTAAACCCCAAACCCCAAACCCTAAACCCTAAACCCTAAACCCTAAACCCTAAACCCTAAACCCTGAACCCTAAACCCTAAACCCTAAACTCTAAACCCAGGAGCTCGTCGACCTCATGGAGGACATGATGCGCGGGTGCGACCTCGAGTCGGGCCGTAGGCCCTCAGGGTTTAGGGTTTAGGGTTTAGGGTTTAGGGTTTAGGGTTTAGGGTGTGGGGGGTTGAGGGTTTAGGGTTTAGGCTTTGAGGCTTTAGGGGTTGGGGTTTGGGGTTTAGGGTTGGCTTGCGTGTTTTAGGAGTTTCGGGTTTGGGGTTCAGGGTTGGCAGGTGTCTTGTTCAGGGAAATAAGGAGGGATCCCTACCCTTAATCTTATTCCCCTGATATCTATACACCTTACATAGTCCTAAAGTCCCTATATACCTAACCCTATATACCTAAGTAGCCCCTACATCACTCCAAAGGTCCCCTATAAGGGTCCCTCCTTTACTCCCTCGATCTTTACCAAGAAGGCCCAAAGTCTCTAAACTCCATAACAACCCTAGAGTCCCAGCCCTAAACTCTCCTAAACCCCCTAAGCCCCCTAAACCCCCAATTCCGCTAATTCCCCTGGTTACCCGAATCCCCCTAACAACCTTAAAATACCCTAGGCCCCAAACCCCAAACCACGAAACCCTTGACCCCTAGCACCGCCAGGCCCGCAGTGGTCTTCTGCGCAGACCTGAACTCCCTGCCCGGGTCTGATGCCTACCGGCTGATCACCAGGCCAGCTCGCTCCGTTTGTTTGAGACTTAGGGGTTTTTAGGTGGTTTCGGGGGTTTTTAGGGGACCTCAATCCTCACCCCCAGAGCTCCGCAGCCCTGCAACCTACCGCCTCTGGACCCCTTGCAGGAGGCTTCTAGATGCGAGCTTCGGGCAGCCTGGTGGTGAGTACCCGGGCTGCTGTTAAGTGGCCCTAAACCCGAAACCCGAAACCCTAAACCCTAAACCCTAAACCCCAAACCCTAAACCCTAAACCCTAAACCCAAATAGGGGCTCAGGTTGTCGGGCTGGGGTCTAGGAACACGCCAATTATCCTTTGTAGGGACCCCAACCCGGCGCAAACAGTACTCACTCCTGGGAGTTCCCCAGCAACTCAGGGTTTAGGGTTTAGGGTTTAGGGTTTAGGGTTTAGCCGGAACATGGATCTACTGATCTACGGCAAGAGATCCTGATGGTTTGGGGTGTGGGATCCCTAAACCCTAAACCCTAAACCCTAAACCCTAAACCCTACACCCTAAACCCTAAACCCTAAGCCCTAAACCCTAAGCCCTAAAGGCTAAACCCTAAACCCTAAGCCCTAAGCCCGAAGCTCTAAACCCCAACAGCAGCCCAGGTATGCCCAGGGCTCTTTCAGCACCCTCAAGCCTGATGTCTACTGGTTTGCCGCACCGAAGGCCTGGTTCTTTTTATGGAGAGGCTTTGTAGGGTTTAGGGTTTAGGGTTTAGGGTTTAGGTTTAGGGTTTAGGGTTTAGGGTTTCGGGTTTCGGGTTCAGGGGTGAGGCTTGAGGCTTAGGGTTTCGGGTTCAGTTTAGGGTTGAGGGTGTGGGGGTTTAGGGTTCAGGGTGTAGGGACTGGCTTAGGGTTCCGGGCCTCCAAAGCCTACTCAACATGAAGCCACCCTACCTCAGCGGTGCCCTTGTGCCCGTTTTGGGTTCTCAGTCCTCTTGGAAGCTCAATACGTCTACTTAGCACCCTCTATAAACCCTATAATCCCCATAACCCACCTGACCAAGCCAACAGGGCTTCCAAGTACAAAGTAGCCCACCCCAAAACCCGTAAAGCCGTAAAGCCGTAAACCCCTAAACCCTAAACCCTAAACCCTAAACCCTAAACCCCAAACCTTAAACCCTGAACCCTGAACCCTGAACCCTGAACCCTGAACCCTGAACCCTGAACCCTGAACCCTGAACCCTGAACCCTGAACCCTAACCCCGCAAGAAGGCCATTAAAATATGGCTCCTGGGCGACCAAGCCTCAGTCCCAAGCCGTAAGCCGCTTGTTTGCTCTAAGGCACGGGCCCTTAGTATGGTCCCTTACCCTTGTTTATAGGGATCCGAGGTATGGGGCCCCTATCATGTATTGTATGGTGTATATGAGGGTTATATCACAAGGGACCCAAATCAAGGGCCCATACTTGTTAGATTTTTGCGCGCGCCCTTGGCCAGGGTCATCGGTCAGAATGGTACGAGTGGCACTGGCAGGACTGGCTCTAGGATGTTAAAACGACGAATGCAGTGGGGTTGAGGGCTTATGGTTTGGGATTCTCATCCTTAGGGTGTTGGACTCTTTGTTTTGTAAGTAGGGTTTAGGGTCTAGGGTTTAGGGTTTAGACTGTACGGTTTAGGATTTAGGGTTCCAGGTTTAGGGTTTCGGGTGTGGGGGGTAATTCAGGGCTATTCAGGCCATTCAGGGCCATAAAGGGCTCATGGGGAAAGGCCTGGACATGCGCGCGCGCGCCACACAAGACTGCAAGCGAAACACTTCGGGGTTTAGAGTTTCGGGTTTACCGCAGGGTTTAGGGGATGTCTGTCTGAGGGTACATGACCATCTGTCTGGGGAGGGGCTCCCCCCCCCCCCCCCCCCCCCCCCGGCTCCCCTTAAACCCTAAACCCTAAACCCTAAACCCTAAACCCTAAACCCTAAACCCTAAACCCTAAACCCTAAACCCTCTTAGGGTAAAAACCAAGTCCAGGAGGGCCGGAAGGAGGTGATTGACTACATCTTCCACAGCCCGGACCTCGCGCTGGAAAAGCCCGTCGTGCTGCCCTGCATGCCGGAGGCCCTAGGGTTTAGGGTTTAGGGTTTAGGGTTTATACGGTTTAGGGTTTAGGGTTGAGAGTGGTGGCTTCACCATGAGACACAGTTTGGGAGGTCTTGACTGATGGTTTTGCGATGTCTTGCAAGGGTTCAAGGGTTTAGGGTTTAGGGTTTAGGGTTTAGGGTTTAAGGCCGAAGGGATGTAGTGGTCCGAGGAGTTTTGTGTGGCGTCGATTCCGGTACGTCGATCAACCAACCTCCAGCTCCCTCTGTGCCTGCAGAGGCATCAGCCCCCCACGCCTCGTCCGACAGCTACAGGATCTTAGGATGGGGTTTAGGGTTTAGGGTTTAGGGTTTAGGGTTTAGGGTTTAGGGTTTAGGGTTGAGGGTTGAGGGTTTAGGGTTGCAATGCCTCCACACGCGCCCTCTGTGGGGCACTGCCCCGGAACTGCCTCTTGACCGCCTTCGGCTCACTGGGCGCATTCCGGAGACCATGTGGGTAGGTCTCGAAAACAGGGTCCCGTTGGGGGTCCCTTTTATGAGGTACCGTACTTTGTAGGGACCCAAGAGCCCGTGACCCAACTGCTCATGTCCCAGCCGGAAGTAGAATAGTGGCCCTCACTTTTCTTCCGACACACCACACAAGGTACCAACGAACTGCGCGCCATCTCTTCTTGTCGCAGCTGAACCCAATCGAAACACGCGCAGCACCTGTCCCACGTTTTCGGTCCCCTTTTTCCATCGCTCCCCATGCTGCTGTGCTTCGACGTGCTGGAACCCTAAACCCTAAACCCTGAACCCTAAACCCTAAACCCTAAACCCTAAACCCTAAACCCTAAACCCTAAACCCTAAACCCTAAACCCTAAACCCTAAACCCTAAACCCTAAACCCTAAACCCTAAACCCTAAACCCTAAACCCCTGTCCCTGAAACTGCACAAGCATACTGCCCTTCACGCCCTACAACCTTACTGCCGGAACCCCCAGACTCGAAACCCCTGAGCGACTGGAAAGCAAGACACTAGACGCTAAACCCCAAACCCTAAACCCTAAACCCTCTAAGCCCTACTAAACCCTAAACCCCACACGCCCTGCCGACAGTCAACCCGCGCTGCCGGTTCGGACCGCCCGGCCAAGCGACACAAGCCCGGAGGACTGGGGGAGAGGGTTTAGGGTTTAGGGTTTAGGGTTTAGGGTTTAGGGTTTAGGGTTTAGATTTTTGAGGGCTTGGGTGCAGAAAGATCACTGTGGTGCAGAGAAGGTAGGTAAAGAGGGTGTGTTCAGGGAGTCTTGCGGAGTGCGAAGTCGAACCCTCACACTTCAAGCCTAAACCCTAAACTGCCCGAATCCCGACACCCTCAACCTTAAACCCGAAGCTCCCAAGCTATGGGAAGATAACATGGGACTATTTTGTGATTTTTTTGGGTACTTTGATTCCTAAGAAGCAGCTAAGACTACAAATTTTGCTCGGGCTTCAAGTGCAGTTAAGCATACCTGATGTAGGGTTTAGGGTGTAGGGATCAGGGTCCCAAAGCCCGAGGCCCCCCAAACTTCGAACTGTCGAGCCGCGTGAGGCGTAGCCCAAACCCAAGCCCCAGACACCCGAGAAACCTCACCTCATGAGTTCTTACATTCGGGAAATTGGGGAATTGTGCTTTGGGGTTTGGGGAATTAGGGTTGAGGGAAATGTTAGGTTTAGGGTGCCTTATAGAACCCTTTGAGGAATGGGATTTCGGTACCCTAAACCCTAAACCCTAAACCCTAAACCCTAAACCCTAAACCCTAAACCCTAAACCCATGAAAGGGATCATACGAAAATCCTAGTCACCAGCAAGCCAGGCTTCCAGCAGATCTTGCAGACGAGCCCCAACCCAACAGGGTTTAGGGTTTAGGGTTTAGGGCTTAGGGTTTAGGGTTTAGGGCTTAGGGTCCCCCCCCCCCCCAAACAAACTTGGCCCTAAGCCCTTGTTTCTAAGCCCCCAAACCTTGTAGACCATTATTCTACGCCCTAAACCCTGCAGACCCCCCAACGAATTATACCTAAAGCCCTTGCTTCTAAGCCCTAAACCCTAAACCCTAAACCCTAAGCCCTAAACCCTAAACCCTCAGCCCTAAACCCAAACCCTAAACCCTAAACCCTATAGACCTTAACCCCATGCCCAGACGAGCTCTACGGATACTGGTGCGGCGGCTGGCGCTTCCCCGACTCACCGGTCCCCGGGCTCGAGGCGTGGGATTTAGGAGTTCAGGTTTAGGGTTTAGGGTTTAGGGTTTAGGGTTTAGGGTTTAGGGTTTAGGGTTTAGGGTTTAGGGTTTAGGGTTTAGGGTTTAGGGTCTAGGGTCTAGGGTTTAGGGTTTAGGGTTTAGGATTTCAATCGCCGGTGGTCGATCAGCGGGAACAGAAAGCTAGGGTTTAGGGTTTAGGGTTCTGATGCTCAAAACCCTATACTCTGAATCCCAACCCCAAGCCCTGATCATTTCTGCAGTATCTGGGTAGCATGGGTCTTTGGGGTAATTCCACCCAAAGGCCCAAACACCCCGACCCTGGGCACCCTGAACCCCGTTACGCCCCGCATTCACTCGTGCGAGTCCAGGAACCCCAAACCCCAAACCCCAAATCCCTAAACCCCAAACCCCAAACCCCAAAACCCCAAACCCCTAAACCCCAAACCCCAAACCCCAAACCCCAAACCCTAAACCCTAAACCCCAAACCCTAAACCCTAAACCCTAAACCCTAAACCAACTTGGGCTTGGGTTAGGAACACCGGTGGGACCGCCGGTGGCGGCCCCCCCGCGTCAGCGGCGAGCTGCAGCTGGGTATCCCGAACCGTCCTCTGGATGCAGGGTTAGGAGGAGGGTTTAGGGTTTAGGGTTTAGGGTTTAGGGTTTGGGGTTTGGGGTTTAGGGTTTAGGGTTTAGGGTGGTCCCTCTCTTTGGAAAGGCATCTTGTTTCTAGACAGTGCCTATCAGGGTTTAGGGTTGAGGGTTCAGGGTTTTGTGTTTTGAACCCCAAGTTATCTCCTCAAAATCCCTATCTAGGTATACCTTAAACTACACACCCTAAACCCTAAACCCTAAACCCTAAACCCTAAACCCTAAACCCTAAACCCTAAACCCCGAACCCTGAACCCTAAACCCAGAACCCTAAACCCCAAACAAAGTACCTTCTCTAGCTTAGTAGGCCCCTGGATGACCCCAAGCCGTAAACTTCAAACCTCAACACGCAAAGTCACAACGCTAAAATCCAAACCCTCTCAAATGGTCCCCATAACCCTATAGCTATCAATCAGTAAGTTGAGGGTTTCTGGTCCAGTACAGGCCTGTGTGATCCCAATTTTGGGTTCATCTGGTTTTCAAGAGCTCCCTGCACCCTGAAACCCTCAAACCCTTAACCTCTTAAACTCTTCGACCCTTGAACCCTTGAACCCTTGAACCCTTGAACCCTTGAACCCTGGAACCCTTGAACCCTTAAACCCTAAAACCCCTTAGACCCTTAAACCCTTAGACCCTTACACACTTGAACCCTAAACCCTAAACCCTAAACCCTAAACCCTAAACCCTAAACCCTAAACCCTAAACCCTAAACCCTAAACCCTAAACCCTAAACCCTAAACCCTAAACCCTAAACCCTAAACCCTAAACCCTAAACCCAGGCATCCATGGCAGCGACCACCTGCCGATCGTCTGCGAGTCCCCGGGCCTTCAAGCACCGGAGGATGGAAGGGTTTCAGGGTTCAGGGTTTCAGGGTTTGGGGTTTAGGGTTCAGGGTTTGGGGTTTAGGGTATAGGGTATAGGGTTTAGGGTTTTGGGTTTCAGGGTTTAGGGTTCAGGGTTCAGGTTTTAGGGTTCAGGGTTCAGGGTTTAGGGTGTAGGTTTCAGCGTCGTTGCAAGAGCGTTGGGCAGAGCTGTTCAGGCAACCATCCAAGGCCTCATTCCTCCGTCGTGGGAAGCTCCATCGGATTGAGGCCCTAGGGTTTAGGGTTGAGGGTTTAGGGCCTAGGTGTCCGTATTCGGTAGGCCCTGGGGGCATGTCATATCTTCCCGTATTGGGTTTAAGAGGGTCATATTCAGGAACAGTTTCAGAGGGTCTTAAGGGCCATCGTAGACTACGTTGTAGACTACGACTTGATGGGTCTCTCGAGGTGTTCGGACGGATGGTCTAGAGGTTGTTAACTCATGCCGCTGACATGGGTCCAACGCATCCGAAGATCTAGAACTCCAATACAAAACCCCCCAAGCCCTAGGCAGCATGCCTGAAACACGAAGCTCCAAACCTGCTGTCACGCTTAAACTCTACAAGTAGAACCATCCCTAGCAGCCCTACAAACCCTAGAAGCCCTATAAACCTCACAAGCCCTATGTAAACCCTCCAAACCCTACAAATCCTTCGCTGTGAAGTATGACCCTATTAGCCCTCTAAGCCCTACAAGCCCCCCATAAACCCTTTAAATCGTGCAGACCGTGTACATCCTCCGCTGTGCGCCTTACTAAGGTTTCGCTTCGCAGACGAGCAGGAAAAAAGTGCTCCGATACCTCTTTGCCTGGGCCCCCAACACAAGTTAGGGTTCCGGGTTCAGGGTGCAGGGTTCAGGGTTCAGGAGAGGGTTAAAGAGGCGTAAACCTTATCCTCGTATTTTACATCTGCCTGTATTGGGTTTAAGAGGACCATATGTATGAATCATAATCAGAGGGTTTCAGCGGCCAAAGTGTAGCCCTGCCAAGGCTTCTGCAGCAGGCTAAGCAATCCCCAACCCGACACCCTAAGCCCCTAAATCCTAACACCCTGAAGCCCTAAAAACCCTAGAGCCCTGGAACCCTAAGCCCTAAACCCCAAACCCTCAGCCCCAAGCCTTACACCCCAAACAGTAAGCCCTAAAATCCCGTTTCGCTTTCTGCTCCAATGTTCCCAATGTCAGCCATCCGAGGAGTCAGTCGTAGTAAGCATCCTGATAATGAGCGAACATGCCAAGCCGCGTAGAACGGACGTATTACAGGCGGTATAGCGCTTGCAAGTTACAAGTATATGCTACTATACATATTCAAATTCAAATAAGCAAAATAAGATATATGTATATATAAACATATATATATGTATATGTACTATGTGCGTGTACATCTTCACATATATGTGGGGTGTCTAGTGCTTCTGTTGTACGTATACAAATCTTCATGTATGAGATGCAACAGCCTTCCACAAACAGCGCCAGCTTGGGAGAGCAAAAGCGCCTCAAACCCACAGGGTTTTAGGGTGTAGGGCTTAGGGTTTAGGCTTTAGGGTTTAGGGACGCCACCATGGGCCTGCGACACGTGCTGACGCTGCTCGTGTGCTTGCCCGTCGGCGGCACCAAGGTTTAGGGTTTAGGGTTTAGGGTTTAGGGGGTATTCTGTAAGGATACATGGAGCAACCTGAACCCTCAGCCCCAAGCCCCAAACCCCCAAATCCTAAACCCTAAATCCTAAACCCCAAACCCTAAACCCCAAACCCTAAGCCCTAAACCCCCAAGCCCCCCAAGTTCCCCACGATTATTGTCGCCAACCAGGTCGTGGCCAGCACTGGCAGCAGAGTCGTCGGAAGATGAGTACAGGCAGCCACCCTTACACACCTGTAACTTCAACCCAAGAACCACAGAACCCTAAACCCTACACCCTGGAACGCCCCAAAAGCCTGGAACTCTTAAGCCCCCGTAACCCTAGAACGCTGAAGCCTTAGAATCCTGGAGTCCTTCTGCCCCCTAGAACCCTAAACCAAGTAAGCCCCTCGAACCCTTAAGCACCTTGATTAAGACCCTTCTTAAAACCCTCAACCCTACCCCCCTAAACCCTGAATTGAACCTTGCAGCCCCCTTTTCATGGTCCAGGAGCGTTTCACCTTTAGAGGGTCGGCTGGGCGAGCTTCCGGGTGGCGGTGATGGTGGTGATGGCGTTGGATCTTTTTGGAGGGTTTCGGGTTTTGGAGTTGAGGTTGAGGGTTTGGGGTTTCACCCTGCCGACGAGGACGGTGCTGATGGTTGTGTAGATGAAAACATCCGCACTCCTGCTGCCACCTGTGTTACCCACCTGCCCTGCACTCTAAACCCTAAAGCCTACCCGAAATCCTACACCCTACACCCTAAACCCCAAACCCTAAAGCCTACCTATATCGGTACCTCACTCGGATCTACCTCACCTTGGATCCAGCCATCTAGGGTGCTTCCTTAGCTGCTACCGTATTGCCTGAGTTAAGGAATGTGCATCATTTCTTGCGCCGCCAGGATCCCGCTGTAGTGACTGGTAGTTCTAGAGCTCCTCGGGAAGACAGGCACGACTTTGCCGAGTTCGATCTCAACAAGGACCGGAGATCTCCCTGCAGTTCCGTGAAGCTTCGTACGATGACCCATGAGTCCAGGCTTGCGTAAGGAAATCGCAATGGAAGGGGCTCCTTAAGAAAAACCTTGTCAATCTTCGACTTATTTCGGTATGGGGTCTTGCAAAAAAGGGGCCTCGTGTGGAACACTGCTGCCTGTACCGGAGCAATCGCCTGCCCAGCTTGCTGCGCGGCGGAGGCAATCAGTGGCGCCCATGAAGTGAGGAAGTACATGGCGTTGGCGTTCTTGCCTATAAACCCCTAAACCCCTAACCTTCTAAACCCCTAACCTTTTAAACCCCTAAACTCCTAAGCCCTCTCCAAGCGCACCTTTGCAGGACAACCAGATCACCTTAAAGCCCTAGACCCTAAACCCTAAACCCTAAACCCTATATAAACCCTAAGCTCCGAAAGCGCCCCCCCTTTGCAGGACAACCAGATCGATTTCCAAGAGCTGAGAATCCAGGACAGCCACAGATGTGCAACGTGGGAAGATGCTCTTGAGGGTTTAGGGGGTTCAGGGGGTTTAGGGGTTTTAGGGTTTAGGGTTTAGGGTTTAGGGTTTAGGGTTTGAGGGGTGCACTTGAGAGTTATCTGGTGATTTCTCTGACTGATGTCCTTCTTGTAAGGCGGCCCTTCTTGCTTGGGGTACCCAAAATGGACCATCGCTTAGAGAACTGGCCAGAGTCATGGCTCGCACGTGCTGGGGGGCTGCGCTGTCAAAAGGTTTAGGGTTTAGGGTTTAGGGTTTAGGATCTAGGGTTTAGGGTTTAGGGTTTAGGGTGGATGAACCCACGCGAGACGCAACAGGGGCGCAGTACGGGAGCCTCGATCGTTACCGGTATATACTCCCCTAAACCCTAAACCCTAAACCCTAAACCCTAAACCCTAAACCCTAAACCCTAAACCCTAAACCCTAAACCCTAAACCCCTAACCCCTAAACCTTAAGCCCTCAACCCTAAACCCTATAAGCTGCCCAAGATGCCCCCAAGGATTCCCTTATAGTAAGGACCCTAGTAAGGTTCCCCGATTTTCGGAAACCCCCCATTTAGGCTTTAGGGTTTAGGCTTAGGGTTTAGGGTTTAGGGTTTAGGGTTTAGGGTTTAGGGTAACAAAAAACCGCCGTTTCAAACGAGTCCAGCGCGCTCTGTGACCTGCGTGCGTCAGCGCAGGTGAAAGGGGAACTCGACGCCACCCACCTGCGCCGACTGGTCATGGCACCCTTGCTGCTTTAGCTTAGGGTGACCCCAAACCCCAAACCCCGAACCCCGAACCCTAAACCCCACGCCCTTAACCCTAAACCCTAAACCCTAAATCTTAATGAACAGAAGCAGGACTGATAAGTCGGCTTGGAGTAGTCCTAAACCCCGAAGTTTCGGAATTCGCAACGAGCATGGCAGCATGATGTCGTGTAATCCCTACCCCCTAAACCCTGAACCCCTAGAATTAAATACTCCTTTAGTTGCTATATCATAGTGTTTAATATTAGGGTGGTAGGGAGAGGGGGTTTAATCTTAGGGGAGGGGGTTCGCCTGCGTAAGCCGAGGACATGGACAAGGACCGGGATCGTTTCTTGCAGACTTCCCGGATCCCCTGCGCATGGGGGGCTTTGACAGAAGTTTGGCCCTCGAATTGGCTGTAGCTTTGCGACCGCTTAAACCCCTAAGCCCTAAATCCCAAACCCCAAACCCTAAACCCTAAACCCCGAAGACCCTAAACCCTAAATCCTGAGAGCCTGCTTGTTTTCGGAGCTGACTGTTGCCTGTGAGTCCCCTTGCCCCTGCAGGACCAATCGGGCGCGATCTCCTTGGCTCCCTTGACTCATTCAGACGAATTCAGGCTGTAGGGTTTAGGGTTTAGGGTTTAGGGTTCGGGTTTAGGGTCTAGGGCGAGGATTCTAGGGCTTCGGGCAGCTGGAGCCCTCGGTGGGGCAGCTGGAGCTAAGGAGGAGTACGTGGCCTATGCCCTCACGCTGTGACCGCAAAGAGATCGGCCGTCAAAGCCGCAGGGAAAACCGTGTGAATGACAGGGACAGGGTGGATGAGGGTTAAGCGTTCAGGGTTCAGGGTTCAGGGTTTAGGGTTTATAGGGTTTGGGGTTTGGGGTTTAGGGTTTAGGGTTCAGGGGCATGTCTCAGCCATGGTGGAGTTCCTCATCCTTGCCAAACAGACAGTGGAAAAGTTGGAGGCCTGCAATGAACCCTTGTGCGGCTGAGGGCAGCAAGTGAAGGAGTCCCTCACTTCGACCCTACACCCCGAACTGTAAACCCGAAACCCTAAACCCTAAACCCTCAACCCGAAACCTTAAACCCTCAACCCCCAGCCCTGACGTGGAATTTCTGCCGAAGGAGAGGTCGGCTAAGGCACGCGCATGAATCACCGAGCGTCCCCAAGACCCCCAACAATAGCCGCCCAATATTCCCCAGCTCCCTAAGCCCTCAAGACCAAGACCCTACACCCCCGTGCATCCCTCCAAACCCGACACCCAACACTCTGACAAAAACGCAAAACATTCATGCCACACCAGGGTTTAGGTTTAGGGTTTAGGGTTTAGGGTCAGGGTTTAGGGTTTAGGGTTTAGGGTTTCGCGTGCCCCGGCTCGCTGGCCTGGAGACTCTGCCATGGCGTGTGCGGCAGCCCCGGCGCAGGACTCTCTCGCTTTAGGGTTTAGGGTTTAGGGTTTAGGGTTTAGGGTGTAGGGTTTAGGGTTTAGGGTTTGGGGTTTTTCGACTTTTCTCTGTCTCTTTGTTTTCCTCTCTGTCTCTCAGTCTTGGTGATAGACGAGGAAATAGTGGAAGCGTAAGCATATCACGCAAGAGCGTACATATGCATCATGCACATCCTACCTACAAAATATCTCCCTAATTTGATCATTCATGTCTTTACTTGTTAAATAGCACTACCCTAAACCCTAAACCGTAAACTCAAAACCCTAAACCTTCAACCCTAAAGCCTAAACCCGAAGCCCTAGGGTTATATCTCCCTGCAAAACCCTTTACTGTGAGGGGTTCAAGATGTAGGTACCGTGCCGAACTCCAGTTTTAGGATTGGGGCGGTTTAGGGTTTAGGGCCCTGGCCGAGAAAATGCCCCAAACCCCCATGGGCTGTTCCACACCCCCACTCCCCAAACAGGGCTTCAGCTACCCCCATACCCCCAACCCCACCCCCCCCCCCCACCCCCAAACCCTAAACCCTAAACCCGAAACCCTAAACCCCAAACCCTAAACCCTAAACCCCAAACCCTAAACCCCAAAATGTAAACCCTAAACCCTAAGCCCTAAACCCTAAACCCTAAACCCTAAACCCTAAACCCTAAACCCCAAAACCCAAACCCCCAAGCCCTAAACCCCAAACCCTAACTCCTAAACCCTAAAGCCCAAACCCTAAACCCTCAGCCCCAAACCCTAAACCCCAGACCCTCAAGGGGACGGCGGAGGAGCAAAGTCCGCCTCCCACGCCGAAGATGGCCACGGCGCAGCTGAAGAGGCGAGCAAAGGACGGGATGCTAGGTTTAGGGTTTAGGGTTTAGGGTTTAGGGTTTAGGGTTTAGGGTTTAGGGTTTAGGGTTTCGGGTTTAGGGTTTAGGGTTTAGGGTTCAGGGTTTAGGGTTTAGGGTTTAGGGTTTAAGTTTTAGGGTTTAGGGTTGAGGGTGTAGACTCGTAGGGTAGTCCCGAATCTAGTCTAGGAACCCCTATTTGGGGAAGCCCGCTTTTGGTTGGTCAGGGCTCTCTGCAGTTTAGGGTTTAGGGTTTAGGGTTTAGGGTTTAGGGTTTAGGGTTCAGGGTTTAGGGTTTAGGGTTCAGGGTTTAGGGTTCAGGGTGTAGGGTCTAGGGTTCAGGCTTTAGTGCGGAGAGTTCGCACGCCAGGAGCAAGGCGCCACGTCCGCCCAACGCCTTCTGGCTCAGCTTCGGGGCCGCCACGTCCGCCTCAACACCATCCACGTGAACACGGAAGCGCGGCGGCAAAGAGAATGGTCAGGGTTTGGGATGCCAGGGTTTAGGGTTTAGGGTTTAGGGTTTGGGGTTTCGGGTTTAGGGTTTAGGGTTAGGGGCTTGGAGTTTGGGGTTTAGGGTCTGGGAGGCCCCCTCTGAGGGACAGGGAGACTTAAGCTTTTCAGGCCCCAAGCGCCTGAAAGCCCACGAGCATCCAAGATGTCGCTGACACCCGAACCCTAGATCCGTCAACGCCGCACACACAAGCCCTCAACCTCCAAGGCCCTAAACCCTAAACCTAAATCCTAAACGCAAAGCCCTAAACGCAAACCCTAAATCCTAAACCCTAAACCCTAAACCCTAAAACCCTAAAACCCTAAACCCTAAACCCTAAACCCTAAACCCTAAACCCTAAACCCTAAACCCTAAACCCTAAACCCGAAACCCGAAACCCGAAACCCTAAACCCTAAACCCAGCCCGTAGTTCAGACCGGGGACTTCCTGCGCTCCAGGTGGTGACTGCGCTGGTTGCCGAGAGGCGCTGGTTGGAGGCCGTAGGGAGTTTATTTAGGGTTTAGGGTTTAGGGTTTAGGGTTTAGGGTTTAGGGTTTAGGGTTTAGGGTTTAGGGTTTAGGGTTTAGGGTTTAGGGTTTGAGGAGTTCAGGGTTTTTGTGGGGATTTAGGGGTTAAGCAGAGTATTGCAGTAGTATTTGATGCTGGAGGCTGTAGAGAATTTGGCCGGTTTCGGTTTTGGAGTTTCAGGGTTTTGGGGTTTCAGGGTTTTGGGGGGTTTAGGGGTTTAGGGCTTTGGGGTTTCAGGGTTTGCGGGCTTCGGGCTTTAGTACGCTGGGATTTCGGGGGTTAAGGTTTAGGTTTTAGGGTTTGGGGTTTAGAATGTTTGAGGCTTCTGTTTTTTTGATTCCAGGTTTACTTGTGTGTCGGCCGCATCGCCCCACATGGTGTTTGAGGTTGCGCAGCCAAGTCTTAGGAAGGTCAGCTGTGAAGCGAGCAACAAACAGCCAAATGCAGGAACATGGGCGGCAGAAATGAATCCTCAAACGTCAAAGGGTTCCACTTAGCCTCTTTTTTTCGTGCCTTTTCATCGTCGGGGGCCAATCGGGATTTGAAGTTAGAAGTTTCTGCCAACATACGTCGGAATAGTACCACCGCTGGTCTCCAGGAATCTGGCTAAGCCCTAAACCCGAAGCCCGAAACCCTAAACCGTGAATCAAACCTCTTCCTGAGTCCAGGCCCTATTCGCATTTACCTCGACTCCTGCTATGTCCTTGCAGCGGAGCATTGTGAGTTGGGGGGCTCAGTATGGTGTGAGGCTGCTGTTATTGGGGTCTAGGGTTTAGGGTTTAGGGTTCAGTGTTCAGGGTTCAGGGTTTAGGGTTTAGGGTTTAGGAATGATTGCTCCTCAAACCCATAAACCTTGAACCCCAAACCCCAAACCCTAAACCCCAAACCCTAAACCCTAAACCCTAAGCCCTAAGCCCTAAACCCTAAACCCCCCCATAGCCCATTCAACCCTTCACCCAGGTTTCGGCGGAGTCCTGGGTGTAGGAACTTGGCGTCACTCGGCGGCCCTGCTCCGCGTCTTGGCCGGGTCAGCTTCGTATGGTAGATGTTTAGTGTTTAGTGTTTAGGGTTTTAGGGTTTAGGGTTTGGGGCACCCTTTTGGGGTATTCTAATTCCTATGTGATCCCCAAGATTCACCTTTAGTTTTCTAGACAACTCATGTCAGGCAGAGGGAGCTTTCGGAGTTTGAGGGATTTAAGGGTTTAAGGGGGTTTAAGGAGGCGGGGTTTGAGGGGGGTTTAAGGGGGCTTTGAGGGGGCTTCCGGGTTCAGGAGCTTGTGGAGGGTTTTGGGGTTTAAGGGAAATGTCGGGGAAGTTTAGGGGAGTTTAGGGGTTAGGGTTAGGGTGTTAGGGCTTTTCGCCTCTCGGATGTATCGGGTTTTGCTTGGGGATTGAGGTTGGGGTTCTGCTTGCTTCATGCCGAGGGTTTCGGCCTTAGGGTTTTAGGGTTAAGGGTTTAGGGTTTTGGGGAACCCCTCCCCCCCACCTTTCGGGTTCCGAGGGCTTTTCTGCAGGTCCAACAGGCTTCTTTTCTTACCGAGGCCTTCTTCAGCCACTTGCGCTGAAGGTGAACGATGTCTGCTGCTCGGCTTGGTAGTTGAGCCTGCACCGAAAATCCCGAACTCTCAGCCCTAAACCCTGCGCCCTAAGCCGTTTAGGGCCCACACCCTTGAAAGCCCTGGGCTCTCAAATGGGTGGTTGTCAAAATGATGGTCACTTTCTGGATCCCAACTATAATACGGCACCTAATACCCCAAAAGGGGTCATAGTTACCCGAAAACCTAAACCCTAAACCCTAAGCCCCCTAATCCCTACACCCATAATTTTGA